TTAGTTTTGGTATGGAATTGGGAAAAAAAAAATGAACTGGGTTCCATGGGCTTGATGGTGCCTAAAATTAATGTTTCAGGGGGAAAATCTTGGATTTAAGAAGACCAGTTACACAAATGTTTTTCGTTCTACTCTGCCTTGCAAACTTAAGCAATCTTCAGGTCAGATTTTCCCTGCAGAATATATGTGCTTAAACAAGATTGATTTCAAGACATTTGATTGATCAGATGCAAAATAATGTCTATACACCCTATCTTCTTCCAAGGCCAGAAAGTGAAGAGATCAGCAAATGACTGCAGGTTTTTAATAATTTATTCATTAACCCTGAGTTTAGAAAACTAACTAAAAATAAGGTCTGCACATGAGGTTTAAATATCTGTGGTTTAAAAACACTTATGGGGAATGTCAGCCAGCAAGACGGAGCAGCATATGTCCATTCCACCCCACCCTACGCAGCACTTCCTTGTGCTCTGCAGGAAGAGCACCTAAGAAGGGTAGTTCACAAGCTCTCTTTTTGCATTAATTACAGAGCCTGGCTTTAACACTGGTCTGGTTTGTGCAGAGTTGTGCAGCACAGCACTACAGTGTCAGTCATATGAGCCCTTCCCACTGTCACCTCATGCATCCGCAGCAGTGACACACTTTTCTACAGAAGCAGACAGCCACCCTCATTGTGTTTCATGTCAGGCTGACGCCGTGCTGCTGACAAAACAGAGCATCATGTGCTCTGCAAATGTGCACTACCAGCATCGAGATCTTTGCTTTTCTTTAATGTCTACCATAAGCAAGCATTTGGCTTTGTTTCTCTGTAAATGCTGCATGAGGGAGGAAAGCCGGGATTTGACCTCTGAAGAACACAAAGCACAGTTGTGCACCCACAGCATAGGATCAAGGTTTGTCTTGCACTGAAATGAACACAGTTAAAGTCCTCCTTATGTTTTTAATTACTTCTTCAGTCTTTAGTTTGTTGTTCATATTCTAGGGCAAATACTCCATTGTGCCTTTAACATATTCCAAGCACACCAATCTCATATGATCTGCTGTGTTAACATCTCCACTCCACTAGGCCCTTACAAAGTGTTTGTTAGTGTCAATGTTAAGATTTTTGAAAAGCTAACAAATATGCAAATTTGAACCAATATGGGAAAAGCAGGTCAAGTGATCAGAGTTCAGATGAAAGAAATTTTAAACCTCAATTCTGTGCACACCTGGGACCAAAGCAATGTGGCAAGAGAGCCCCATCACTGGAGTGCTGAAGGAGGGCATGGAGGAGGCAGAGCACTGTAGGCAATCAGCAGCCCAGCTCACAGCACTCTGCCGTGAGACAGGGCACTGTCAAAGGCTCATGGATAATGGCCAGGGGGTCACCAAACACAAGGGGTAACATGGGGGTATCTGCTGCGGACAACCTCAACAAGAGGTGAAGCAACTCATAGGAAATTGGAGGAAGCTTCACAATGGCAGGGCCAGGTCTTCCAAGCAACATTCCCCACTAGCTGTAACTTCTGAAAGGGCCCTGTGCTGGGGCACAAAAAATCCACTGGGAGTGGAGCCAAATGGGCAGTATCTCCACTGGGATGGACACACAGGGCAGGGGTGTGGTCGAAGGCAGGGTCAGTGACAGCCCAGCTACGGCCGAGCAGGTCTGCAGGAACAAAAGAGATGACGATTGAGACAGAAGAACTGGGAACAGGTACAGGCATGGCACAGTACAGCCCAGACAGGATCTTGCTACCTCAAAAGGTATGACAGGGGAGAGCCCAGGTGAGGCTTCTCCCAGCTCCTTCTCACGCTCACCTTAGCTGTTTCGCTGCAGCTTGGCTCCAGATACCACTGCACTAACCCAGAGTTTGCCTCGAGCACAGGCAGCCATAACCCAAGAAAGACAAGTTTGAGGATCAGGCCTTCAACACAGTGAAAATAAATTGGAGAAATGTTTGCAGTGGAAAAACTTGTGTTTTGTTTCCCTACACAACCAGATGTCACAAGGACAGGTGGTACAGGTATATCAGAGGGATCTGGTAAAAGGCAGAGGCTGGAAGTAGTGAGGACAAGAGAGAGAAGTAGGAAGGTTAAACACAGTCTTGAATCTTAGCTGTCTGTGCCCTGTCCTAATTTTCCTCAGGGTAAAATGAAAAGGATTATCTCTAAGGCTGACATCCAGGGTCACCTCCTTCCCCAGACTTTCCCAGTCCCACCAGGGAGATGCTGCAAATGTCTGACACACCTCCAAGTTGTACACAGGCATCTTCTGAATGGGCACTCTGGTCTTGAAGTTTTGTACTTCCAATGCAAAGGTCACTGTGGGCTCAGAAACCACAAATATTTATAACTCCAGGGGTAGCTAACGGGTATGAGTTCAGTGGAATAAATACAAACCCAGTAGGAACTGTCTTTGTCATGTCAATATGCCACACTAGCTGAAATGAGCACATCTTGTTACCACTGTGTAAGAGGTGGGAAGCATGCACTTCATACAGAATCAGCTGTTCATAGAGAATCAGCTTTCGTTTTTGGAAGTAGAGTTTTTCTCAAGTATTCTGCTATTGTCTTTCTAGGGCAAAAAGTAAACAAAAAAAGAAAGGACTGTACCACCTGTGTCTGCAAACAAACTGCATCCCTCTGTTGGCTAGAATTACAAACTTATACATAACAGAAAAGCTAGCAAATCTACTAAATAAAAAATTCTGCTTATTCCTTCTCAGAGCAGTAGAGGGAGAGATCAACACAGAATTCATGATGGTCAGTCTTTCTTACACTTGATAAGTCTGCACAAATTCTTGCCATAAATCTCCCACGGTGACATTCACAAACCCTCCAGCCAGCACAAGAAAAAAGATTCTAGAAGTTGATTAAAAAATGAAGAGGCCAAATGGAGGTTTGCCCTGAACTAGCTTGTGGGACTCAAGAGTTTACCCTGCAAAAACAATGCAGTGTGAGAGGACTGACAATCAAACCACAGTACACCTCTAGGCAACTGCTCTGGAGACTCATCTTTCTGCTGTGTCTAGCAGGGGATGAACATGTTACCTCTTCTGAAACACAGGCTGCTGACCACTTGAAATATCAGAATGTGGGTCACAATCCTTCTTTCCCTCACACTCCACCAAATTAAAATGAAGGATAATAAACCACTAAAAATTGAGATAAATATGTCTTATATCTTTGGCTAATATCTATCTACCAGACTGCGCAAGATGGTCAGGATCTGACAGATTCCACCATAAAAACAAAGGAAAAAAACATCCAATTGTGCAGCTCCTGAGGTCTTTAAACAAAATAACTTACATTCATGGCAATAGATAGGCATTCAGCAGTTCCCTTTGCAAATGTTTTGGGGTTTATGGCCAGCCTTCAGCCCTGATCTAGGGAACCCTGTAAGTCACTTTAGTTAATGTCACTTTCCTGAAGAATTTCATTTGTGGAGCCTAGTCAGCATTTGCACTGCAGACACTGGGGAAAGTGTTTAAGATATGCCCAACAGATGCTGTGTGTCACACTAGCAAAATACTCGTGGTGAGAAATTTCAGTGGGAATATTTTGCTTAATCAAAACTAAATACATTCTCATATAAACAATAACTGATGCTAATGACCAATACTCTATTGTTCACAGACACAGAAGTTATCTTTCCTTTGACAGATTTTAAAATTCACCAGCTATTCACTGAGGAAATTTCTAGTGAGGAAACTTTCCCAAGGTAAGTAAATTTCGCAGCCAAATTTCTTGGTGTAAATGCTATTCGCATCCTTCTCCATTGCCACTATTTGGCTACCCCTTCATAAAACAGAAGTGTGTTCGACAGAAATTTTAAAACTGCCTTACCAGCAATGTGAAGAACCCTGGATTAGTAATTCCACTTGCCTGTGTTATCATACATGGGCATGTGTATGAATGAGTGTCACTCATCTGAATGGCTCCACACAGTTACTGCCATTCTGCAGATCCTGTAAAAGCTGACTCCTCCATAGACTGAAGTTGAAAGAACTTGGGAAGAAAGCTGCAACAGTCTAAATACCAGGTAAAGGTGTGTCTTCTGGCAAGTGATGACTAAAATCACCAAGTTTTATACTTTGTCAGATTAAGTAATTTGAGGCTTTGTGTGTTAAAAGAGGAAGGCTGCCTATTTCTCCTTGGGTCTACTGAAGACTTCAGTACCAATGGACTCTGTATTATCTTTGCCCTTTTAATCATATAATTTCATGTTTATACATGATACAAATCCTACAATCAGAATACAAATATATCATCAGAAAGGCAAGAAGATAAGTCAGATCAAAGCCAACCCTATTTCTGTGGAGTAGAGATACTCATTGCTCTGCTTATTTTTAGCAAAAGATGGTGGGTAAATCTGAGCCAGCATGTTTTCATTCAATCTGTCCCCGGACACTAACAGATGGTGCTTCCTCGTGCCAACCACTAATGTACGTTACATTGGCACTCAGTGTCAGGACACAAAACCCGCCAAGTCCCTGCTTAAATCTGCTGATGCCAGGAAATTTGATAATAAACAGCTAGCCAGGGACACAGTCCCAAGTTTTTAGTCTACCTCCAAAGCAGCAGAGAAGCTGTACCTGTGCAATGGTGTCAGCTGCTCTGCACTTTGTGGCTATCAACAGAGCAGAGGGTCCTGGACTGTGGAAAAAGGGGACTTGAGACTAAGCAGGTATGTATCTAAAGATGGAGGGAGGGCCATCTGCTTCAGGGTAATTAGCTGTGTACTTAAATCTGGGCTTTGAGAATCCTGACAATCAGGACCTTAATGTTCAAACATTTGAACAAATGACAATTACTATAAATCGTTATAAATATAAATATATGCATATATATGTGCATATATTACCTGGCAGAATGATTTAACTGTTTAGCATTTCTCAGTGCCCCTTGAGCACTGACCATATTAAATTCAGTCTCATGGATCTACTTCCCATGGCTACTAATCCAAAATGATAAGGTCACCTGCAAAAGAAAATTCCACACAACTCCTCTGAGGAGCTCACTCTGTTTCACAGGTCTGTTGTGTTTATTCTTTGAATACAAGCATCCAGAATTCTTCAGTTGTAAAATTCTTGTTCCTTTCCACCAGGTGCCTCAGTGCCCAGGCTTCTTTCTTGGATTGCTCAAAGCTTGGTATCCACATCTTTTGGAGAGAAATCCAGCCAGGGTTTGATGATGAGAACCAGAATGCCTCTGGTTTTGGGCAGCTGAGATGATTAACCTGAGCCTCCCACCTCTGGGGCAGCCATCCCTGGCAATGAAGACAAATAAAAGGGGTTATTCAGGGATCCAGGCAAACAGAGAAGAAAAGTGCTATGCCATTAATAAACTGTCAAATCACATCAGTTACACTTTCCTTCCCACTGCAGGCTCTACCTGTGGAAGGCCTCTCCTAAGTGACTGGGACAAGACCAGTCATGCTGACAAGTCATGCTTCTGAGTCTCATATAAGGTTTGGCTGCAAATGAGCAGCACCAGCCCACACAAAATGAAATTATAAGACAAGGAGTTATATTTTCATCATTATATTTTGTTTTCATCTTACATATGCACACACTTACTGAGATTATTTTTCTAATGGAAAAAAACAAGCCATGAATCTGGCCAGGAGAGTAAACTGGTCTTCATAATTTTATTGACTAGAGAGCCACAAAAGCACAGCGAAGGAATATCTGTATCTAAATATTCTCTATCTTTCCATTGCTGCATTCCTAGCTCAAAGAGAGAATATATGTCCAGATTTGCACTGGTCTCAAAGAGCAAAGTCTGGTTAAGTGTAATGCTTAAGTTTGTAATTCTCATCACTTCAGCTCACCTTAATAACTTCAAAAGTTTTCTCCATCTCCCTTCTACTGGCTGACCATTTACTGCATTGCTCAGACGGGGATCAGCTAAAATACAGCTCCTCACAAACACACAACCTGGCTTAAAAATTGTTTCAGTGTTTAGTCACCAAAAGTGGCCACATACATATAGAACCCAACAGTCATAGAGTGCTTAAAACAGACCAGAAGACAGGGCTCTCTAGTTCAGCTCACTCTTCCAGACAGGTGTAATCATATATCATTGCCTAGGGCAAAATTGACTTTAGTCTTAAAACACCTGCAAGGACAGAGATTCCACACCTTTCTAGACAACCTCCTTCCAGATGTTCCAGGTCATCTGAAGAAAGTCAACATATGTGGCTACTTTCTGCAACATGAAGAAAATCTCCTCCCTGAACAAGTCAAGACTTTAGCTGAAAATGACCACCAGCTCAGTGGTCAATGTCATGTGCTCACAGACTGCACTGCAGCACTGTGAGGAACACACGTTCTCAACACCTGTTTACATGAGAATGCACAACCCAATGGCACTGGAATACCATGGCCGTCAGCTAGCCGGAAATCTGTTAACCAAACTTCCTGGGACAAACCTGACCCTCGTGCCATTTTAAAGCCTCTCTGAGACACAAACACAAATTCACACATACCTTTTCTTTCCGCCTGATGTTTTCCCACACTCTGTTACAAACCATGCACTCAAAGGTGTCAATGTAATTGTCCTGGGTGATATCTTGCACTCCCCACTTGCGTTCCTTCATTGCTCTAAGCAGTCTTGGGTTGGAAATGTCCCCTTTCAGTTTCCATTGTAGATAGGACTCATATTCTTCATCATCTCTATCCAGTGTTTTGATATAGTGGGCCAGATCCCGAGGGTGTGAAAAACTGGATACCAGGATTGCACTCTTGTTACTAGGAAGCCAGTCTACAATGCTGGGAGACCCGAAGTACACTGGCACCACTCCCAATTTCAGTGGCCGCCAGAGTTTTTCAGTGATGTAATCTTCACAGATAGCATTTTCAAAAGCAAGAATGAACTTGTACTGTGCCAGTATTTTTAAAAAGTTTCCATCATCCATTGCAGCTGGATTTCTGAGATGCTGAGGAAGGTCTCTGTTATGCAAGCATTCCCCATAAGAGTCCACTTCAATGTGGCACATCAGCTCACGCACATAGCTGTCCCGGTCCGAAGGGGGGTTGCAATCAGACTGCACGTACACAAGCGGTGCAAGCCTTTTCCTCAGGCTGTTTTTCATCTGCAGGGGGATCATGAACCTCAATGACTTCAGGACCTCTACGCCCTCAAGATACTGAGTGGTCAGTGGCAGGTGAGAGTGGCGGCTAAATGTTGCAGTGTGGTTGAATAAGGTGATGGTTGCTTCGTGGAAGAGTTTGTAGTTGTTTTTCGGTGACTCTTCATGAAAAAGGGCCCAGTCATGATATTCTTTACGAGGGAGAGGTAAACTGTCTATACTGAAGTCAGTACCTAAACAAAAGCAAACAGTTCATCCTGCTCTTGTCATGTGAGACTAACTACAATAACACAGAAGTCTAGTTTTAATTTAGTATCAGCGCTACAACCATCACATTTCTGACACTAAAAGGCAGTTATTTCAAAGAATGCAATATTTGCAAAGGCACAAGAGCATAATGACAGGTAAAACTGAATTTCACAGCAGAAGAATCTAAAGAAGTGGGATCAATAGTTAATATTAGAAGAGGTCTCCTTTCATGTCATATTAGTTTAAAGGCCTCTCATTTCAAAGGATCACTAGGAATTCTATATTTTAATGCACTGAAATGAGACTAGTAAAATGTTTCATAATCCCCTAGTTTTCTAAATAGGAGAACAGATGGTATTTCCTCTGTGATGTGAGGAAAATGGTTACTGCAGAACTCAGTTTGGTTCTAGTAATAAATGGATGCTGAAACTAAACTAAATGGATGCTGAAATCCTAGACAGGATTAAGGAGAAAAAAATAATTACTTAAGTTTTGAAAAAACATTGTACAGTAAAGATTTAGGAAGCCAAACTATTAACTTTTCAAAGAGAAAATTAAGAGGTGATGTATCACAGCTGCCTACCAGATACATGAAGAAGTAGCTTCTAGCAGAAGACAGCTCCTCAAAGTAATGCAAATATTAGAAGAAGAATAATGTCTAAACTCTAAAACAAGTCATCTGCAGAAATTGGGAAAACTGTGGTCAAAGCCTTAGGACAAACCTAGGTGACTTTTCTCAAAGACTGATCTGTGCAAAACTAAGTTGAAAGTACCAGCTCATTAATGCAACACTTGCCCTCCCTTCACTACTTCTGCACTACACTATTACAACCAGCCTTCCTGCAGATTAAATGCAAACTTGCCCCATTTCTGTCAAGGTACTTCCTCACTGTCCTAGGACTGTATCTGTTTTCTACTTAAGTAAAGGCACTGAACATGCAAAACTTTTAGCTAATATTGTCAAGCAAGAGAGGTTCAAAACCTGAAACACTGAAGAGCTGGTTTGGAAAATATCACAAATTCTATCTTAGATAAACTTCAGTGGCAACGTAACCTTTGTGTAATAAACTCCATGGATGATTGCATCTAGGACAATTGGGAATATACGGTCTTAAACAAGTTGTGTTCAATCCAACTAAGGAGAATGGCCAGCAAGCAGCAGATTCTGTGGAGGCAAGACAATGCTTTCTCCATGCCAGCTTCTCTCTTTCCTATAAGCCAGAGATGCACAGTCACAAGAAGCAGGGTCAAACAGTGGCCATATCTCTACAGGGGGCTAAAGACCACAAACAGCCACAAAGCACCCCAATTCTCCATCAGAAGACTGCACATCCCTTGTACTGTTGCATCAGACACAAAAAATTCCCACCGTGGGAAGGGACTAGGTGTTCTCATGTCAATTTAAATGTATATAACCCAGCACACTCCTTGTTTTGCAAGCCCCTATCCTCAATGAATGAAGACTGCAACCATCACTCCTATCATAAACATCAAAATTGCAATGATCAAGAATCATCACTGGATTCATCAGAGGCAGTCTTTTTCCTGTTCACTATCTACTTCCTCTCTTTTATCCCTTCCTCCTCTTTTTCTGTTTGTTTTCCGTACATATTTTCTTCATGAGATTTTTATACTTTTATAGGAAAGAATCAGAAGAGCCACATACCTCCTTTGCACTGTAATTAAATTGTTTTGAAATAAACCTGGCTGATACATACACACCAGTCATTCAGAGTTGTTTCACTTTAATTCACCCAAGGGATCTAGTAACAGGAACTTCAGTTACCATCCTTCAGAGGTGGGTCATAACACTATCTCGCTCACGCTTGTAACTTTTCACTCTCCATTCTCCCCCAACCTCAAACCACTGATGGCAAAAATAAGGGGGTGCTAGCAGAAGTCTAATGCAGAATACTGATCTAAAAACTAAGATATAAAGATTTTAAAAAATGCCCAGTGGTCCTTGCAGCTGTATAAGCCTGCCAAAATGACTCCAAGGACTACCTTATAAAACTAATGTGAGACTTGATTACTGCAGCAGAGGTAGAAGTTAGCTGCCAGAAATATAAAAATCTATAGAGCAAGATCCTTCAAGAGCATCAGGTGGGGTTTTTTTAAGGCCACTAAACATCGACCTTCTGTCTTCTACTCAGGTCCTAAGTCCTCAGCACTTAAAAGGATGAAAGGCCATGCCACTCAATGAAAAATGCTATCTGCTTCTTGTTTTCATGTTATCTTGTTTTTGATGTGTTATTTTGTAACAGAAGAAGTGATGAAAACTGAAAGTTAATCAAATTCTCATGGAGAAATTCAAAAAGTCTGTCTGGCTTTGAAAATACTTTGTTCTAGGTCGTGCCAAGAGAAGTAACAGGGCATACCTACAAAAATTAAATGCTGTGGATGGAAATCACAGCACTGCAGCTCAGTCTCTCACAAGGTTGCTCCCTCTTTCAGGTAGTAATGCAGGGAAAAGGGAGTGGAAACATAGGCAAGAATGGGAGAAAGACAAAAAGGCAACATATAAAACTTACCAAACTAGGAGACAGTTAAGTCAAGCAAAGAGAAACTCAAAAATGCACTGTAAAATCACAGAATCTCAGAATCATTTAGGTTGCAAAAGGCCTCCAAGATTATCAAGTCCAACCTTTGACTAATCACCATATTGTCAACTAGATCATGGTACTTAATGCCATGACCAGCTGTTTCTTGAACAACCCCAGGGATGGTGACTCCACTATCACCCTGAGCAATCCATTCCACTGTTTATCAACACTTTCCATGGAAAAATTTCTCCTGATGTCAACCTGAACATTCCCTTGGTTTAGCTTGAGGACGTGTCCTCTCATCCTGTCACTGCTGCCTGGGAGAAGAGACCAACCCTCCCCTGGCTACAGCCTCTTGCCAGGCAGTTGTAGAGAGTGATAAGCTCACCCCTGTGTCTCGTTTTCTCCAGGAGAAAGAAACTGAAACTTCCACTGAAATTCCAGGAACAACCCCAGCTCCCTCAGCCATCTAGCCATCTTCATTGGACCTCCCCTCCAGACCCTTCCCCAGCTCTGATGTCCTTCTCTGGGGCATGCTCCAGCACCTCAATGTCTTTCTTGAAATAAGGGGACCAAAACTGGGCAGAGTACAGATCAGAGCACATCAGAACAACTGAATTTATTACAACGCTTAATCAATATCAGTCCAGCAAGAAGACAAAAAGGATCAAAGGGAAGATAACATCAGCATGCCCCCTATCCCATGAGATGAAGGAAATAAGGAAGCATATGATGGAATTTTAAAAAGCACCACAAGACTAGAATTATGAGCAATTTCACTTCCTAACTACTAATTTGGAGATCTTAGATATGCAATAGAGAAATATATATAATGCTAGGAGAAGCTGTGCATTTCAGGAGACATTTTTCACTCAGAAGTCATATTCCAAGGACTCAGTTATGCATTTTAGAAGACATCTTCCATTCAGAAGTCATACTCCAAGGACTCCAGTACAGAACAGAGGGACACCCTTCTCTCTTAGGAACAACACCCCTGAGGCTCTGACAGATCCAGCTCATGCTGATTCAGTCACATTGGCAGCTCATGCTAATTACTACACTCTATGAATTATGTGACACTGAAAAGGTGGAGTTGGGAATCTCTTCCTAAAGCAGAAACAAAGTCTAGCAAGGGGATGCCTCATTTAATTTTAAAACAAAAGACAGTGACATTTGACAAAGTTATCGCCTACACTGAGGGGCTCCCCAGGCCAGGACAGTGAGCTGGGACAAGCTGCAGGAAAGTTGGTGATCCTAACAAAGAAGTTGTGCTGGGAAACATCTACACCTTGTATTTTTGCACAGTACTTTTCTTAATCTTTGGATCATTCTTCTCTTGACTAGCTTACTGACCAAGTACTTGGGAAATTATTGCATTTTCTTTAGAAAGTGAAACTGTGCTCTGATCCAGCCTTAGAATGGAAATTCAGATATTCAAGTTTTCACTCAGCAGGCTCTTTAGAGGGAAAATCTGTAAAAGTAAAATATACCTTTTTCACAGCTCAATGCATCATGGCAGGGGGCAGAGAAGGAGAGGAAGAGAGACTGAGAGAAAAACTCCCTGTTCTGGCATTGTGAGATCATTTACTGTGGTTTAAAAATAAGCAACCATTTTGTGTATTTTGACACTTATCTTTACAAAGTTTGTAGTCAGCATCACTGTAAAAAGAAAAAAAAAAAAAAAAAAAAAAAAAAAAAAAAAAAAAAAAAAAAAAAGAAAACAAAAAGCTACAGAAAGTCTTATGCCCAGTATAAATTGTTTCTTAGAAGTGTGAGAGTAACCTGTGTCCAGAAGTCTGCTAAAAATGAAGAATAACAATCCCTATAACACTGAAAAAGACAAATGAAACTGCTACCAGAGACCAAAATCACCAGACTTTACAGCTTTCCTGTGATGCAATTCAGCTTTCTTTGTCTTTAATTGGGTCAGCTTCTCTTCCTTTGCTGTTATTGCTTTGCTTTCATGGTTAATCACCATATTATTTGACAAAGCTGACCTACTTGGAGATCTAAAAAGATTAGTGATGAGAAGTTTTTGTTTCACTGCTAATTACCAAGCTTAAGGCACTTCTTTCCTATATTTCCAGTTCACCTGTATTCAGATTGAGCAAATGAGATTCAGTATCCTGATTTATTTTGTTTTATTTCCAGACAAAATATCTGAACCTACCAGTCAAAGAAAAGTAATTTACTTATTTTTCTACCTAAAACTCAGGTTTTCTTTCAAAAACAACTGTGTGGGTGGGAAAGAACAAGGTTGATGAAGGTCTATTTTTAAATGATGCATCTTTCATGCTCTGTAGACTCACTTTACAGTGTACATAATAGGAAGTCCCTGGCAGAGCCAGCACAGCTCAGAAGGTTGCACTAGCTGCTGCTCCCTGTATGGAATCAATAGGTTTCTTTCACTACATTCCATTTAGAGTCTGGTAGCAACTTCTTGGCACGTGAGGCAGGGGAGTTGCACTGTTACCAAAGAGTACATTATTTTTAGACAAAAGACTTGCACAAGTGCAACAAAGGCCTTGCAGAACCTCTGCTAGGGGTGACAAGCCAGAAGACTGGAAAAAGTTGGCTTGATCTCAGACTGTCTTTAAATGCCTTGGCAATGACATGAAATTGTCTTTTCTTCCACGAACAGGGAGTACATGTGACTGGAAAGCAGTATGAGACAAGGCATCAGTCATATCACAGATGTGCATGGTCACTTTTTGGAGTACTTTTAGAGAGCACTCTTAGTGGTATTCAGCACCAGGCAAAGTTTAATCCAATGAGCTGCAAAAATTTCCTGTTCTAAATCATTGCCACGTAGAATATTTAATCTCTATGGGGAAAGAACTAAGCGGGAGGAAAAGTGACTTCTTTAAAAAGAAATGGATTCTTACCATAGAACAGAAATGCTCTTGTCATCTGATTGTGCTGGTAGGTCTTGTTTATAGTAAAGAAGCAAACATCCTCTCCACACTGACTGAATCTCCCTGTCTCTCCAGTCAGGGGAGACCACCAGAGCAGGACAGGATAACGATTTACATCAGACTCTGTCTTAAAGCTGCTGTGAAGTTCTTCCTTCTTAAACTGAAAAGAATGTCTCTCCCCAGGCTTCAATGGGCTGCTGTGTAAACTGGAGATTACTGATACCTTATTCTCTGAATTGCCCAGTTCGGTGATAACCTTCAGGGAAATAAACATACACATCACAACATATCATTGTCATTAGCCAGGACATCTGCTTGCAAACCAGAATTTAAGTATCAAGCACTAAGTCAGTATGTTAAGTTTCTGTCAATCAAATTGGATGCATTTCACTGACTGCAGACATCAGGTCATCTGATACCAGAACAGCAAAAGCTTTAATTTGAAATTGTAAGGAGAAGGCAGAAAATATATTTCTGTAGTGAGATATGTGACTTAACAACACAACTTCTGCTTTCTCCCTGGAAAATGCAGAAAACAGCCCTTCAGTAGCCAGGTTTCTTCTGAAAATTAGCTGTTAAAAAACCCATTAAGTTTTCTGTGGGTCCAGCCTTGTCCGCCAGCCTAACGAGTTCAAACATGTGAAAAGAGGAGGCAATGCTGGATAGAGGCAACACAACATGGCACAGTGTGGCAACATTGCTGAGAAACTCCTCCAGGAGCTAAGAATATATACAAGAAAGGTATTTTCTGGGTTATGTCAGAGTCAGCTATCACCATGAGGCCAATGCTGCTAACAGAGTAACTCCTGGTGAAGCACAGACTAGTATGGAAAATGTCTGTCACCTCTCTGATCTGACAGAATTGTGTCCTGCTTTGACAGCAATCTCATGCATACCCCACCCCCTTGCCCCTGTACCTGGAGTGTTAGCACAAGGAAAAAGGCAGCTGCAAAGCAGAAGCAAGATGCCCAAAGTATCTTCCTCCTCATCCTAATCATGCTGCACTACCAGGTCTGCCAGAGCAGTTACATCTAGGCATTAGCAAGGTTGCTCGTCCAAAGTCTTCACTCTCTGCTGCTGGGTTTTCCCACTTTATCATTATTGCTCTTCATGGTGGCTGCTGCTGAAAAAGAGTAGAGCATCAACACAGACAGCTCCTTCAAAGCTCAGTGGTTAGTTCCATGTCCACCCATAAACTTCTGTAGGTGCCAGAGCCACATTTTCAGCCAGGTATCCAGAAAGCAACCTGCACAAGACAGCACTCTTGCTCACAAAGCCCCAAGCACCTACTCTCCCTGCAGTCATCCTGGACATCCTCTCATCCTTGTAGTCAGTGTAAGGAATGCTGATGGCACTGGCTCAGTACTGGGTGAGGGCCACTGCTTTCATGAGTTTCCGATGTCAAGCTGTACTGCTTTTCAGCAGACTCACAAACAGGGAAGCAATGAAAGATTTTCCTTCACTGTGTAATCTCTGAAAATGTTCCTGGAAAAGGCACACAACTACCTGCCCTTGGACTTTACTATATTTCAGTCTTCTGGGACTTCTCTTCACAAACATAAAGAGCTCATGAAACATGCTCTATGTCCAATGCATAGAGAAAATAACCACACAATATACACACAATTCTGTCCACACATAAACCCAGTTAAATTTAACAAGTTCCCCTTTCTGAGTAATCTGCACTTGTGTTGGTCTGCCTCTCTTCAAATAGCTTTCCCTTCCCCAATGCTTTATTTTAGCTTTCAGCTACTGTTTTCTCACATGATGGATGTTTCTGTACAAAAATCCCAACTCCTGGCAACAGGAGAAGTTGTAAAAGTCCAGCCAGGTCTTGAAAAATAAAAATAAAGGACGGTAGAAAGATAGGACTGTAGCACTCCACACAGATATGTAAAGTTTGAAAATGTGAGTGTTCTGGAAACTCAGAGATATGAGATTTATGCTGTTTTTCCTGCCAGCTTTGCCCTCATCTTAATCTCAATCACAAAGTTCTAAAGCCCTCACAAAGAGGGATGTGTCCCAAACCTACTGCCTGCTGTAGTACTATCATGGTGGTGCTGACAGCTAAAGGGAAAAAATTATTCTTTTTCTGCTCCCACTGACACATGAGTTCATCCATTTCCCTCAAACACCAAAAAGGCCTCTTTAGCAAAAGCTGACATGAAACCCTGCTGTGCAGTTCTGCTCTGCACAGGCCAGCTGCTTTTGAAGGTCTGTGTGGGTGTGAAAGTGCATGGCTGCCAGTTAAGCGCTTCTCAGATCAGGCAGGATTTTCTATAAAGCCTCTGCACCTTCTGTGCCTCCTGCAGTACAGCCAAAAAGGGGCACCATGAGGGGAAGGGGATGAATTCTGCCCACTGCTGCATTGGCACATCTGGAGCTGGACAGTACTTTTTAACACTATGTATCTTACCAGGCCAGTGCATGGCAAAAAGCAAGATTCTGATGATCCACTTAATACCACCCTAACCCCTGGCCTGATAAAAGAGACTACTCTTGTAGTAATTGTCACATTTTCAGGTTCTAGAGGGGGAACTGACCACAGCATGGGTGTACACCACCTATTAACCCAAGGCATCACTGAGCCATGGCTTCATTTTTGCATCTGCGCCGCCCAACATGCAATACTTCTGCCCAGCACTGCGGTGCGTAGTCGGGCTGGGCCAGGCAAGGCTCTGTCCCGTCCCAGCAAAGCTTTCCCACCTCTGTCAGTCTGAGCAGAGGTCCTGAGCACTTGAGGGAAGGAGGATAAATCACCACCCCAGGCTGCCCTGCGGGAGCAGCAGCTCCCTGCAAATCCTTCCAAACTTCCTGCCAGCTCTCCCCGCCGCCTCTCCTTCCAGCTCCGTGTCGCCGCAGTTCTATGGGCTCAGCATCCCAGCCAGGGCTTTTCCGGCTCCCTGAAACGCTGCCCCTTCCCGGAGCTCTGCGCATCCCGCAGCCGCGGCCCTGCTCCCGCCGTGGGTCAGGCATCCTCCGGCCAGGCGTACTCACCCCGAGGAACTCGCTGCCGCCTCACCTCCGCCGTCCCCGAGGGGGTTTGGGGTGTTTTGCAGCTTTTTTTTAACTTTGAGCGAGCGCACCCCGCGCGGGCGGCGGGCGCGGGGCGGGGGCGGTGCGGGGCGCGCCTCCCTCCGCCCAGCCGCGGGGGCGGGGAAGGGGTCGGCTCTGCCCCGGCTCCCCGGGGCCTGCACGGGCAGCGCGGAGCAGCGAGCGCCGTCAGGGCGACATCGCTCCCGCCCCGCCCGGCGGCTCTTCTGCAAGCCCTCCCTGCGAGCCCTCGCCTAATTCCCAAAATAAATCCGCCCCGACACTGATTCCTATAGCTGTTTGCATAACAACGCAGCAACGGGTTTGTGGGGGTTTTTTTACAGCAGTGCTGTCCTGACGGAGAGTTTACATTGACTGCATGAGACCAGCGGGCAGTCGGAAAGAGAAATGGATCACGGCAGCTGGGAAGCCCCGAGGAGCGGGAGAGCCGGCCCGCATCCCTCGTCCCTCTGCGGCAGGCATCCCGCAGCTGGGACCGTGCCTTGCTTCCAGCCTTGCCCAGGCATCCCTACCCGACTGTCTGCCCACTCGGGGCTTCCTGAGCCTGGGAAACACTTTGTGCGCCTCTTAACTCTTTGTAGATGCTTACTCTCCAAAAGCCTGGTTCTGCAAGGTCAGCTCCGTACTCATCTGCCAGATACAGACTTAGGAACCATCCATTCTTGTATATGGAATTAGTGTATCGCATACATACACATTTGAAATACCTGATACCTATATGCTTCTCCATAGGTACTTATATTTATACAGAAACACTTGAAAGTGAAGTATCTGCTGTTTCTGACGCAGACATGGCAAGCACGGGTGGCTGCAAGGGGCTGATTACCTGAGGGAGGGGAGGGAGGAAGAATTCCAAGGAGGCAGAGAGGATACCTGCGCCTCAACTGAAATGCATGACTGATAAAAACTGTAGAAATGTTATGCACACAGCTCCTGTCCTTACTCTGAGTGGGTAATGCCAGCAAGCCTTCCTGAGGTGATCAGAAGGGCACCCAGCAGGCAACCTGAATCCAGCCCTCTGCAGCAATGTCCATGACCCTTGCCACACTGGCTCTACTCCCTTTCCACTAAGCTACTCTTGCCATAGCCCCTTTGGAGCAACACACTCCTCTTATTGCACATATTGCACCAGAGAGCTCAGATTTCTCTCTGAATTACCAGTCTCCTCCTAAGATGAAAACTAGCAACAGGCACTACAGCGCTGGGACATACAGATTTACTCATACTCCAGTATTTGTTTAGTGATTAATCCCAGCTCTTGTCCCATTTGTTGCTTCCTCACAGAAGTTTTAGCTGTTGGAGTAATATTTTTAAGTAGAAGCTTTCAGGCTGGGTTTTAATATTATCTTTGAAGCTGAATATTATCTTGAAGTCTTTGCAGATATTCAACCTGGAACATGAAGGACCTGCACTCACTTCTAGTCATGAGGGATGCAGCAAGAATCTCCAAGTATTATTTTGCAAAGATTCATGTGAAAGCAGAACCCTGCTTTTGCAGGCCTTATTAAGAGTACCTAGAGTCTGTGAGGACTGAGGTTAGCATGGCACAATGAGTGTGTAGTTCAGTAAATTAAATTGAGTGGTTGGAAATGGATCAGAGACCTGGTATGTTTTATGGAAGGACTTTCTGTGATCCCAATGCATTTCGATCTAATCTGTAATTTTAAACTTAGTTATATTCCTGGCTTTCACATTTCCTCAGCTGGCAGACTCCTAAAGTGCTCTCATGAGGACAAAACTTAATTGTAAAATGCTTCATCTTCCTTCAACAGGCTTGACTTTTCTCAGTTACTGTCCCTCAAACCTTTTGAAGCAGCCCACAGATACAATAACCCACGCTTTGAGACTGAAAATACAGAAGTGAGTCCTGAGGGCACTCCAGAGGGATAGCTGTATGTCTGCGGTCTGTCCCATGCCAAACACAAGCTCTTCTTGGACCAGCTCAATCCAGTGGCTGGCATCAGAGAGACTCACTTTTGTTTCTTGTCCTGTTATGCCACTCTGAGGAAATAAGCTCTTATTGCAGGATCTGGTTTGTCTTGTAATCCATATTAAATAGCTGGTAAAGATGATACCAGCATAACCAATGGCAGGGCCAAATCATCACATAGGAATTCTGGATGAAAATGACCAAAAAACCACAACTGTTGCTCAAATAGCAGAGCTAATAAGCCAGATTTCTTAAAGATCTGCATTTTGTGGTGTCCCCTGTTCATGGAAAGCTGTTGGTATCTAGCAAACTTGCAATGCAACTTGTCTTTCCATGGGTCAGGAACAACAGCCTTTCTTTCTGCTTCATCTCTTACAAACAGGATTTACTGCATTTGAGGTTTCTCTCGTGCAGATGTACACATTTCCTCTGATCTGTTTTTAATACACTTTGGGGTTTTTTATGCCTGTCTTTGTTCTTCCTCTCTTTTTTATTATTCTGCACTTTAGAACATTTTTCTTTCTCTTAGGTCATGCTGGGTATACTTTCTGTCTCTAGATATGCCCATTCTCTTTCTGTTGTATTCATAATCCTGTTATTCAAAGTAGATTTTCAGTATATTTCCCTGGTTTTTATCCTCCATTACATTAGTATAGTCTATATTACTGCAACACCCAGAAGCAGCAACCACACTATGCACTCCAAAGAGTCATTGTACAAACATTCTGGCAGGAAAAAATAAAGTCCTCAGAATAAAATAGGGCAGAAGAAAAGGCAGGGAGACAAGGAAAGCACAGAGTTCAAGTGAGTTCCCAAAGGAGAAAAAGCTGCTCATTGAGACAAGAACCACCTGTGGGCTTGATTCTTCCTTGTCCTGGATCTTGTGTCTCAATTTGCAGCTGTGCATTTATACTCCCTCACTGTCACTGTGACACCATTCTTCCTCCCATAAAATCACTGTAAAACACATGAAACACACGAAACACACAACAGTCCTTTCAACTTGAGCAGCTCAAAATTAAAGACTTTAACCTCTTCCACCACACATGGAATGATTTCCCACTTCCCTAAGAATACAGCAGAGATGCAGATGTATGCACAGCCCTTGCTACTGCACATGCTCTCTCTTTCTTTAATTCTCTCCATGCTAATGCATCTTAAAATGCCCTAGATTACAAATCCCTACACTGTATCAGCTCTTTCTAAAGATTGTCCTTAGCTACTTTGTTCTGCTGATCAACAGCACATCAGGAGATCACAGAATCATTTAGGTTAGAAAAGACATCTGAGATGATCCATCTTGTCAGCTAGAACATGGCTCAGTCTGCCCTGGGTAGTCTATTTCAACGTCTAATCATGTTTTCTGGGAAGGAATTACACCTGATGTCCACCCTGAACCTCTCCTGGTGCAGTTTGAGACTGTGTCCTGTCACTGTTGCCTGGGAGAAGAGGCCAATTCCCACCTGGCTACAGCTTCTTTCCAGGTAGCTGAAGAGTGATAAGGTCACCCCTAAACCTCCTTTTCTCCAGGATAAACACCCCCAGTTCCTGCTGGCTCTGCTGCCTTCTCCAATTTCTCCCACTCAAAACCTTTCAAAACCTTCTCCAGTTTCACCTTTTTACAGTGGCCAAATTCCTCTGTGTGAAAAATGCGTATTATATGGCTCTACCCAAATAGTTACTATATATGCTGTATTTACATTTTAATAGTATGGTAAATGTAGTTTTGTAGTTAAAATGAAGCTTTAGTAGTTGAAATAGAAAATATGTATGTGAAGGGGTTGTTTTTAAGGAATGAGATGCTCACTTTGAGGAACACCTAAATCTTCCAGAGAAGAGGAATTTAGGGTTTTCTTATCAGAAGAAACTCATTTCTTCAGGCCTTGCTCAGACTCGAAGATGCCATGGGGATTAAAGGAAATAGTTGACATACAACAGACAGAGTTTCTTGTTTTAAATAGGATGTATGCGTAACTATGAAGGATATATGAATATGCAACAGCATATTGTTTTAAGGGTGATTCCTTTGCTCACAAGGCATGCTTTTCACAGAATCACAGAACCACAGAATAATGAGGTTGGAATAGACCTCTAAGATCATCAAGTCCAACCTATGCCCTAACAGCTCAACTAGACTATAGCACCAAGTGCCAAATCCAGTCTTTTTTAAACACATCCAGAGATGGTGATTCCACCACCTCCCTAGGAAGACAAATCTAGTATTTTATTATTCTTTCAGTGAGTTTTTTTTTCCTAATATCCAACCTAAACCTTCCCTGACGTAGCTTGAGACTTAGTGTCCAAGAGCGTCTGGATGTCCGTAATTCTTTGCTTTTTATTGCCTTGTGATTGCCCTAACTCTTAAATTTCATTACTGCAATTGCACCACTATCTTTACAACCGCTTCATTATTATTAAACGTTTAAAACTTTTAAACACGGAGCGATTGGCGCTTTTCCCACCCCGCCCCGCGCCGTCAGCAGGGGCGCTAAGATGGCGGCGGGCGCTGCGAGCGCTCCCTGAGGAGCGCGGCGGGCGGCGGCAGGCCCGCGCTTTCCCGGTCCGCCGCGCCGGGGGCGGCGCTGTCGAGCCGCCCCGCCGCCCCGCCGCCGCCCCTGCGGCGCAGGCGCGTCCCGGAAGCGGCGGAGCAGCGATGGCGGCGGACGGGAGGGCGGCGGCGGCGGTGGAGGAGCTGCCGCCGCAGCCGGAGGGCGACGTGGAGGGCGGCAGCAGCGAGCCGGAGGGCGGCTTCGGGCAGCTGCTGGAGGAGGAGGAGGATGGGGAAGATGCCGGCTATGTGCTGTACAGGTGCGATCCCGCGGAGCCGGGTCGGACCGGACCCTCGCGCGGGGCGGAGCTGGGGCCGGAGGAGTGGGTAGATTCTGGGAGGGGCGGGGACACCTTTCACCGTGCTTAAAGCCTTATCCAACATGGCTTTGAACAGTGCCGTAGCTGCTGGATACACAGTTTCTCTAGGCAGCCAGTGTCTCACCACCTTTACAAATAATTTCTTCCCAATGTCTAACCTAAATTTCCCCTCTCTCAGTTTGTACCCATTATTCCTTGTCCCACCATGACATTTTCTGACAGAAAGCCCCTCGCCAGCTTCCCTGTAGGCTCCCTTTTAGATACTGGAAGGCTGCTCCGAGATCTTTAC